TGCAGCCCTGCAACCGAGGCAGGCAGGCTCAGGGAGAGCCACTGGCAGCCAGGGCTCTCAGTAAGGGTAGCGGCACCCAGCCTGCCCAGGGTGGAGGCAAGACAGCTCACACCACCTCCTCCCGCTCCGCACAGGCTCACCAGGGCTAACGATGACTCTGCTCCGGTGTAAGCGACGGGTTCTGTATTTACAGGGGAGCTCGCAAAAATCTGGCATGTAAAAAAAAAAAAACAAACCACCAGATCAAACCGCAGCCAACGCTAGCGGCCGTGGGGGCGCCTTTCAGGCCTTGCGCGTGGGGCAGCCATGCACGGCCTTGGGCGGAGGAGCGGGCGCCGGCAGAGCCCTGCGCAGCCCCAGGGCCGCCCTCCAGCACCTGCTGCAGGTGTCCGGAGGTCGCACCGCTCCGGAGGTCAGGTGGGGCTGGGGCCGCGGCGCTGGGCAGGGGATGGCTCCCGCTGTTCTCTGGAGCACTGCAGTGTTTGCCCCAGCAAAGCCCCCATCCTGCCCCATCACTCCAGGCTGCAGCCTGTCCCTGGGGGCTCTGGGACAGGACGGCACTGACCCTGCACACAGCTCTGCACCTCCTCCTCGCCCAGCGCAGGGGGCTCACGACTTCTTCACCTTCTTGACGGAGGAGGAGCTGGAGGCCGACTCCCTTCGCTTTCTCTGCTCCAAGAGGGAGACGGGAAACAAAAGAAAAACCAGGGTCAGCGGGTGGGAGCGCTCAGGTCACACAGAAAACACAACCACCTGTCCCGGCGTCGGCCACGGGGCTCCAGCATCACACCCAGCAGTGCCCAATGGACCACGCTGCCATCTGCGCAGCTGAAGGCAGGGCCAGGTCCTTGCGTGATGGGAGGGACAGCGCTAATCCAGCAGTGACGAGGAGCTGGGATGGCACCCTTGCGGGGGATGTCACCTCCCTGACATGGACAGGGCTTTGGGACGATCATCTTTGTGGTGCAGGGTCTGGGAGTGAGCAGGAGAAAGGGGCTGACCTCTACAACAACACAGTGGTCCCAGGAGCCCTGACCAAGCAAGCTGGCATGCCACAGGCCCTAAGGAGCAGGGCCTTGAGAGAGGGACAGACCAGCTCCATGCTATGGCCAGCTGTGCCGGGGATGCTTGGCGCGGGACAGGGCAGAGCCTGGAAATGCTCCTCCACCACCCAGACCTGCCGCGAAGTGGCCTAGGAGCAGAGCAGAAGGCTGACAGAACCACGGCTCCTCAAAAACCCCACCTCTTCTGTGGGCAGCGCGCACCGATACACCTGAGCGAGACTGGCGGGCTCTGGTGAGCCTCACCCTTCACAGACAAGGTTTCAGGGCTGAATCCGGCCATAGGAAAGATGGGGCCGTTCACACCAAATGGGGAACGTGACCCTAGGCGTATCGCTGCATTGCAGTGAGATTCAGTGCCAGGCGCTGCACGGACGCTACGGCCAAGACCGCGGCGGGTTCAACACCCAAAGCCCGGCTCTGTGTGCAGGGTGCCCCAGGCATGCCAGAGCCACCAGGTACCCCATGCACTGGGTGCCATAGGGACACGCGGTGCCAGAGCCCTGAGGGCCCCGCTGCACAGCATCAGATCGGGTCCGCTTTGCGCAGCACAATGCACCGCAGGCAGCGGCGGTGGCTGGCACTGTGGCACGCACCGCACAGGCACGGCGACTGCGGGCAGGTCCCTGCCGTGCTCAGCCTTGCAGCCGCAGCGCAGCCATCCCCTGTCCCCACTACAGAGCCACCGCCCCGGCTGGCAAGCACCCAGGGGATGGACAAGGCAGCACTGACACGCTCTCCGAAATGAGTCAGGCCTGCCCATCCCTGCTCCTCCAGCCCTGCTGGTCCCGCACGTGTGTGCTCCCGGCGGCAGCGCGCGTGGTGGGAGGCCCCGCTGCCTCCCCCGGCGGAAAGACGGCCCCCAGTCCCCACTGGGCACTGGGCAGACGGCAAACAGAGCATGGAATTTGCACGGCTAAAAGTTAAATACAACACACACACGGATTTCGTCAGAGGCCCTGGCACGGCTGCCTTCACGGGATCCGATTAACGGGGAAATAAAAGGGCCAGAGAACCCACACAGCAGTGTGAACAGATGCCCTATAAAAATCAAATACATGGTAATCAAGGGGACCGAAAGGTACATTTAAAAAAACAAAAACCCACCCTGGAAACAAAGGAGCTGAGCTTTGTGGCTTTCCTGGGAGGGCTGTGGAATTAATGGGGAAGAGCACATGTGTTTGATAATCTTTATATGGCAAAAGACCCATCTTTCAAATATGTCACAAATTCATATTAATCACCTTCCTGTAGCCTTCTGTGGCACAGCTATTCCAGTTGCCCTGGGCAAAATTGGGAACTGAAGAGGAAAGAGGAATATATATACACCCTGGTATATATACACTATATAATATATATATAAAAGACAGATATTGTAACTCCATCTGGAAAGAGAGAATGTTTGATCTTAACAATAACTTCTAGTATATATATTAAAATATATATATATATATAAAAGACAGATATTGTAACTCCATCTGGAAAGAGAGAATGTTTGATCTTAACAATGTAACTTCTAGCTTTCAAACAGGCTCAGAAAACAAGAAGTCAGCAGGAGTTCAGATAAAGGAAGCTTAAAAGTCAAATAATTCTGACTCTGAACCCGAGACTTCTTAGACTCAAGGTCCTTTCCTTTACCCATTAATGGGCTGACTTGTGAGCTCAGGAACAAAGTGCTGCAATGTGAGGATTTCTGAGAGTCACTCATTACAGATCACTGAGTAGAGTCTGAGTTGCGGAAATCAAAGGATCCAATCTGGAGTAACTGGCTGAACTTCTGCTCGGAACTAATTTGTTCCGAGTTCAGCTCACCTTTCACCTCCCCAAGGCCCCGAGTAAAGTCCCTACCAGGGTCAGCAGCAGACGGCACTGGGGGGATCCCAGCTCGGCTTTAATGGTCAGCAACGGGCACCGCAGCCCCCAGGAGAGGGTGGACAGGCAGCAAGGTAGGAGGGATGTGGTGGACAGGGCAGGGCAGAATGGTGCTGGGCTTCCCGCTGCCCCGCAGGCTCTCGCTGCTGAGACAGGCAGACACCTCTCCTAACCTGGGCTAAAACACCCTGCTGAGATGTCCCCCATGCCTACTGCTGGCCAAGGGGGATGGCGGCAACCAGCTGTTGCCACAAACAGTATCTCAATACCCTGGTGTGCCTCTGCCCATCCGTTCCAATTCCTGGAAAGAAATCCAGGCATGCCGGGCAGGGCTCGGGAGTCAGGACTCCTAGTCCTATTCCTGGCTTTGCCACTCACTCCCTCCAACATCTGGAGCAACGTACTTCTCTCCAGGGAAACAAATCTGGCTTCAGGGGAGCAGCTGGTTTGGAGGCTGAACTAATCCATGCTTAATCCAACACGTGGAGTGCCATGGACGGGCAGTGCTAGACAGCACAAAGGGATTCTCCAACTCAGAGGAATTTGAAGCGGGAAGATTAAATGATTCCCCCAAGGGCCCCCGGCAGCTCAGTGGCAAAGCACACACTTGAACTCAGGAGTTCGAGGCTGGTGTAGCAGGGTTAAACCGCTGAAGCAGCCTCGGCGAAGGGAAGGGCAAGGTGTCACCCACAAGCGCCCACAGCTGCAGGAGGCGAGGGAGGGAAAGGCCACTACAAAGCACCGCTGCGCTTGCTCTACAGAGAGCTGCTTGTTTGCACTACCAATATTGCTACCCCCGCTGCAAGTGCCCCAGGGTGGGGGAAAAGCGCTGTGCTTGCAGAGGCAGGCTGCTTTCTCAGCACCGTGTCCTGGGCCCACTGCCTCCCACGCTGTCCCCATCGCACCAGGGCTGGGGACACCTCAGGGTTATCGCTGTGCGGGGTGGGGACACACGCATGCACCCTACCAGCCGAACAGCCAGCGACTGCCCCAACCACCCCCCTTCTCAGAGCTGACCCTGGCCCACTGATCTTCCAGAGGCCAATTTTAGCCATGACACTGAGTGAAAGGCACTGGGGCTGCTCCTGCCGGCTCTGGGCAGGGCAGGGAGCATCACCAACACACGGCCTCCACTCGGCTCAGCCCATCCTTGGAAAAGCTGGTTGTGGGCCGCAGGCTGCTGGTCTCTCCCACCACCACATCGCCCAGAACCGCAGGAAGGGTTCAGGGCAAGCACAGTGCCAGGCCCTGCCTGACTCTCCAAACATACCTGAGCCAGGCAGAACGTAGTACAGCAGCCCCATTTCCCTCCTCTCCAAGATACCCCTCCAGCTGGGATGTAATTTTTCCCCCCCTCGAAAGGTAGCATAAAATGGTCACAGTGTGAATGTGCTTGACCTTTTGTCTTGGACTAATCTAATTGTGTCGTCTTTGTGTAATCAGCCGGTAAAGGTCAGTGCTGTATTTAACATGGGGGCCCTTTAGGTACTGAATTTGCCTTGCAGTGAATTAACTTGATTATATTTCTTTCAAATATGTCAGAGACCAGGTCAGTTTAACCCTCTCCGTGCTGCCTGGGCCCACTCCTTTGTTTCCAATTCTAGGAGGTGGCTCTGAGGAACAACGTGGTCAGAAACACACACATGGGCTCCCTCCTCCTGCAGCCATGGCCGCCACCACCACCACCACCACCACCTCTCCCACCTTCCCAACAAGCAAAGTCTCAAGGGAGAGCAAGTGTGTTATGAATCAGCCCGCAAAGTTTGCAAACCAGGACACCCCGGACCGCAGGGAGGGGTGAGGTCTCAGACTGAATGCAGTAGGGGAAAAAAAAATTCAGAAGACTCCTTTGCAAACATGAACCTGTCTCAGTGGAACGCTTCCTTACGACTCCATATTGTCACAATCAAATAGGACATTACTCAAGTCCAGATTAACGTGTCGCCTCTGCCGTTGACAGATAAGGTGTTCTCAATATCCTGCAATACATTATACATTTTAGAAAGTAAAGGTCTGTGCCGCTACCAGGGGCAGTATGTCTGAGGCGTCGGGGATGCCACTATGTGGAGACGGGCAGCTTTTACCAGGCAGTTCAGCTCAGCTGTGCCAGGGGACTGCACAGAGGGGAAAGCAACCTCAGCTGATCCCCAGGCATACCCTTGGCCCTGAGGCAGTGGTGAGGGGCTGGGCGGCCTGCCCTCATGGAGGCAGGGAGGAGAGGCTGGTGATTCGCATCCTGCAGAGGTACATGCACAGGACATTGTCAGAGGGCTCGCCATGGAAGAACCCCTAGGTCTGGCTTTCCTTTCTTGGCACTGGAAGTAGGGTATAAAAACACCCCTTTGCTCTTCAAACACCTCTCTCCTTCCCAAGCCTCCTGCTCCAGGCAGGGCTACTGCTTGACTCCAGGAACTTGGGCAGGTCATGGCTCATTATCTCAAGACTGCTTTCCCCACTCGCTTCCCTCTGCTGAGCAACCCTTACGGGGCTGTATCTAGAAGGAAAATGCCTCAGGCCTGCAGCTGTACTGGCATCACTGTTGCTGCCCTAGTGCAAGCTCTCGTCACCCAAAGCCTTGCTGCTTTGGTCCACGGTGGCACCCACGTCAAGCCATCTGCCTGCATGCAGGATGTAGAAAGCCCTGCTGACCCCACCTATAGCACCAAGAACACTGTCCAGCACAGGAGAGAAGCCCAGAGAGCAGCACTGGGACTTGGGGGGAACAGGCGTGCTGTGCTCCCTTGGATGCGCACGCCTGGAGGGAGAGCAGGGCAGCATCCCCAGTGCTTGTCAGGGCATCTGCGTCGGAGACCTGAGTGCTCCCTGTTCTGCCCCCCCAACCTTCCTTCTCACCGAATTGGGGGTCAGCGGTGCTCCTACTACATCAATAATCTGGTCCTTGGCATCTCCCTTGCCCTCCTCAATGCCGAGCCCTGTCTGGCCATCCGGATGGGCGCCTTCCGCACTGAGGGGGCCGATACTACCAGCTTTGGCCAGGGCCTCATAGCGGTGCCGTAACATCTGCAGCTCATATTCGCAGTTGGCAAAGGCTTGCTTCAGCTCATACAGCAGCACCAGGTCGCTCCGCAGCTCGTTGAACATCTGCACAATCTCCTCTGTGGGCATAGGGTTGAGATCTAGGGAGAAAAAGGGGTTCTGTTAAACACCCAGACCTGCAACCCTACAATGGAAGATTCATAGAAGGGTCCTGGCTGCCCATTCACTCCCACAAAGATACGCCAGAAGCCTCACTCCTATCACATGGATCATTAGCAACTGGCATCCCTAAGGGTTGGAGACCTGAATTTCCAGGCTGTCCTTTGGCTCTGGCCAAGTACTAAGGGTGAACCTGCAAAGTCCAGGACTCAGCAAGTGAAGGATGATGGAAGACACAAATCAGACCAGACAACTGAACCTTGCTACCCACCAGGTCACATGAAGGGAGCTCAGTCTTGGGTACAAGTCCTCACACACTGCTGCAGAGGACAGAAGAGCTCCTGCTGTTCCCTACACCTTCACCAACAAGGGGTGGACAGGCTGAACTCCCTTGCCTCTCTTGCTGCTCCTCCCAGGGTAGGACTGAGGCAGAGAATTGCTCTGCTGCTGTGTTACAGACATGTTTTAATGCAGACCTGAACTGCTTGTAGCAGGGGCTGGCAGATCACCTCCCCACACCATGCATTCTGCTGCAGCCCATCACACACGCACACAGAGCCAGGAAGAGCTGTGTGTTCTGGAGAAGACAAGGATGTGCGTTTGTCCTGATACACAGCAGTGCCCCCCTGTCCGCCGGGCTGCCCACATGACCCCTTCCTGCTAACACTGTGTTCACCCATGCAAAGCCCAGGTGTGTTTCTGCACTCTAAGGCACTGCAGGGCTAGAGCACCAGGAAGCCCTCGAGATACGTGTGTTTTGTAAGGCAGGAGTGGGGAGTCAGGAACCCCTCCTTACCCTCGTGGAAAGTGAGCTCTAAGAAGCACTCAAGTCCTTCCCCAAGGTTTCCCTAGCAAGCAAAGACAGTAACTCGCTCAGTTTTAAAGCGGAAAGGGGAAAAAACCCTGGTTGAGCCACTTTCACCAGCCACAGGAGGCCTTCAGAACCACACACAGTCTCTGAGACAACATACCAAGCCATAAACCAGTTGGCCCAAAAAACTAACAAGAGTTAACGGAAGTCAGTGCTGGGAGCAGGCTCAGTAATCTCCTGTAAATCACCAATAAGGCTTTTTTTTTTTTCCTCCTTCTTCTTTTTTTCTTTTTTTATTTTTAAAAATCCCCCCAGCCACAGTGGGGGGGAAAAGGGATCATCAAGTGCCTAATCAAGGGGCACTGCATGCTGGGACCTGTAGTACGTGCAAACTGTACCCACTCCATGGAGGGCAGCAGCTAGCCATGGGCTGCACTTCCTCCCCTCTAGCTACGAGCAGGTATTGTACGTGTTAAGTGAACCCTTCTTTCTGCTGCTAAGACACTGGAGTTCAAGAGTGAGGGATGTGTGTTTACTCGCCTTTCAGCAGAGATGCTCCAGATTTTCACACAGCATGCAACCTATAAAGGGGGGATGAACAGTCCCAGACGCATTTTGGACTTGCCACCGTGAGCAGTAAATTAAGAGGAAACGAAGCTTGAAAGCAAGACAGGGCATCCCTGAACAATGCGCGTGCCATGGTCACTAACACACTTAGAAGTACCTCTCCCGGCAAGGCTGAGATTTGCCTTCCTAATACTGTGCTGCCTCTCTTGATGGTTAAAAAGGCCCAAACAAGAGAGAAACAAAGGCTCTTTTAAAACATTTTTCTACTGGGAGGAAAAAAAAAAAACCCTGTGCATCTTGTTCTGGCTTTTACCCTCTCTCTTTTTTTTTTTTTTTAAACACATAAAATATTTTAAAAACCATTCACATACTGTTATTCAAGAAACTGGCTGTATTACTAGGGGAAAAAATAGCCCATCTCGAGAACAAAGGCTAGCTCTGTGTGTCTCTTTCTCTCTCGCGTGCCCCCTTTACTCACCTACTCCAAGTTCCATCAGCATCTGCTCCAGGGCTTTAATCTTCTTCTGTCCCACCGAGCTTGGCAGTTTCATCTGGAACACAAAGGTAACAGAGCCACACAGCTCAGAGATAGCCCTCACTCACAGCCGTCTAGTTCAAAAGGCAAGAGAGCTTTTCTTTTTATAGTGCAGGGGGAACAAAAAAAGAAAGGGAGAGAAAGGAAAATCAAGTGGTAAGAGAGGGAGACAGGGGCTGAAAGTTTTCAGACTAGGTCCGAGGGCAGGTATTGAAAAGCCCGGTCGTGAGGGCTTTTATTTTCTCTCTCGTGTGTGTGCAAGACACGCTGTTTTACAGTTTCCATGTGTCACTGAATTAACAACAAAAGTTCTTCTTGGCTTCAAACCCTCTCCCGCGGTGCCCAGCCCATCAAAGGGCTCATTTACACAGCGGCTAATGTGCAATGCTGCCCTACTTTATTCGCTTTAGCCGGCCTGATTAGACTCATGCGCTAACAGACTCACTTCTCCTTTTACCTGCTGAGCCCCAGACCTGTGGGATTCATTTACAGAGCAGGCTTTATAACAAAGGGGAGAGACAGAGAGAGCACAGTTACTTGACTGGCAGAAGTGTGAACACACATTTACATCGGAGCTAAGGGGCTAGGTGAGAGAGGAAGCATCAGATGTGAGCTATGAAAGGGAATTGGAGCTGGCCAGGAGAGGAAGAATGCATACACTTAGCAGGGTCCTTCCTCTGCATTCATTTGGGCTCTAGCAGGAGTGCTAGCTGCTCAGACCAAGCATTTATTAGATTACAAGCAGCACAAATGCAGCTGGCACAATATGGCAGGAAGAACAGGTTTCCAAGCCCTGCGGATATATCCAAGAGCGAATGAAAGCACTTTCCTTCCTCAGCAATGCTAGAAGACAGACCAGGAAAGAAATGATTCTCAACACCACAGTGTCAAACACCTTACTGCACGCAGTCATAGGCTGTCCCTCTATTTCCAACCCTGGGAAGGTGAGCTCACACCTCCACTCAGGGATCACCATCACCACCCCAAGCTGCCCAGCAGGCCATTGAATAGCCAAGAGGTGAAAGCATCCTGCAGCCATCCTGCACACCACTTAACTGATCAGTGGCCCCAACCTTGGCCAAACCAACCATGAGCCTGCAACACTGGGCTGGGAATGACCTAAGGAAGAGCCATTCTTTACTCCACCTTAAAACTGGCCTCTGAGGTGAGCTCACCCGAGGGTCCCATGGTCACCTTACTTCCCATAAGCCACAGGTTGAAGTTCCCCAAAATAGACAGCCCAATGTAAATCTCCCAAATTAGGCCCACCTTCTCCACAGTGTTCACTGCCCCAACACAAAAATGACAACAAGAGACACCATCTGGAACTTCTCAATTCCTCTGAAGGCAGGAGCACTGCGCGCACATACCCAAATGGTGAAAGCGCTAACCTTAACTCAGGTATGGCTGAACATGTCCCATCAGCAGCTCCACAACCCCAACGCAGGACCTGCTGGGAAAACCTGTCTTCTCCACCACATCATTTCAGCCAAGAAACCAGAGTACGGATGCCACAGAGCACCCCAGGGAAACGGGCTTTTCACAGTATATGCTGAAAAGCACCTAGTCCTTTTGCTAGATACTACCACCACAATTAAGACTCCAGCAAAGGACCAAGAGGACTATCAGGGAAGGATTTCTAAGAAACCAACCTGATCCAGAGGATCCAAAAGGAGAAGTAGGGAAAAAGGAAAACCCACCCTCGAGCAAACAGCCAGCACAGGAAAGGACTAGAGGACACTTCTGTCCTTTTTTATAACCTGAGGGTCTTTGGCTTAGAGCTGGGGTTTCTGCACAGCAGTGAATTTCATACTTCAGAGACTGAATCTTTACAGTTGACCACAAAATGATTGTTTTAGCAGAAGAAAGGCTACCAAAGGTATCAGGTACTTGGATTTCAGTCAAGTCTTTGGTCCAGAGTCTTAACTTAAGCAGAACCTTACTAAAATAGGTTTTACCAGGAGCTCGGCTGCACAGACTACCTGCACAGGTTCTGCTGAAAACCAGCAGGACAGGGTAGAGCCCTAAGATAAGGCAGCCCAGAGCACTGGGACAGGAGATGGTTCTGTTTATTTGGTAGGTGCCATGCTGCAGCTAGCCGTAGAATGCCAAAGAAGGAAAGGTCACTTAGCACAGCTTAGCGGGAGACAGAATGGTTAGCCTGAAGCATCGGGAAGACATTCCTGAGAGCAAGAGGCCTTGGTCCAGAGAACTGTTCTGCCCCACGAGGAATCACACAGAACATTTAAGATGGGCAACATGCCCAGCTCTGCCTCAGCTGGGGGATGTATGGGCTGACCTAGTCAGACTGTGCTATCCTTAACTTGTAGGACACAAAGAGTTAACAGAGCCCAGCATCTCCTCATTGAAGAGCTCTGGACACACAATACTTGTGTGATTATCACAGCACTGAGAGTCTGTCTTCACCCCTGCCCCTAACACCGACATCACGGTCTTTCTAGCTAAAGGCAGGATTCCCTTCTGTTAAACACCAGCTGGCAAAAGCATGCTGGACTTCAAGCCAACTTCAGGAACAAAGGACAAGAAACAGGAAAAGTTCATGCTTGGCTAGGCTAGGCAGACAGACAGGAGGTCTTGGTTTGTTGGTTAGAGGAAGAACACAAGCTTTTCTCCTGGGAGGCTTCCACTAGCTGAAGGAACTACTGGCAACACAAACGATTAACCTGGCAAAGCCTTCAACTGTGCTGTTGTGTACGTCCTGCTCACGTCCCACAGGAGTCTGGTCAATGAACACTGACCCAAGGTATTCACTGAAACTCCTGAAGATTAGAGGATGGAGCCGGGAGAGGCAGGACAAATCAATTTAACTTCAAAGATAGGAACATTAGAGATGCTCAGGAGGAGTGGGGCTGTGAGTTTAGTTTAAAAACACATCAATTAAGCTTCCTTTTAATTCAGGCAGGAAGATCTGGCCTGCAAACAGGAAGGCTTCATTGGTTTCTCAAAGCAAGAGTATATTTTAATTTTACCATCATTAAGAAAATGTTATGATTTATGTGGCTGCTGTCGGACTAATACCTTTAGAATTTAGCTGGCTAAGCCAATTCATCTCTAAGACTGATGAAGGCTGATTGCTCTCTATGCAAAATGTATTAAAACTAAACGAGCAGTCTATTACTCAAATGCTGCTGATAATCTGTTAGCCAGGGTCCGTTAGCTGGGCTGCCTTGTTGGAGGAGAGAAGCCTTCATGCCCTGTACAGCTCTGATAAGCCCAAGCTTACTTCGGCAAGCCCTTCTTTGTTTTGGTCTTTTAAGTATATGTCCAGAGATGCACCAGAGTGCTGCAAGTGGTGTATCACCTGCCCTCATTCCCAAGGAATGAGGCAATCCGCAGGGACCGCAGGTCCCAGCCAATGGCACAGAGAACAGCTCTCTGGCTCAAGATGTGTGCGCTGGGATACGTGGTTTCTGCAGGCCATACCTCTGCGTTAATGAAAACACCACTCAGGGCAATCTCGTCGCTTACACCACAGCTCCTGGGATGTTCTTGGTGTTGTCATGGATTGAGTCCTCTGCAGAGGCTGAGGAAAATTATGTTCCTCGGAGAACTCCAGTGAGCAACCACAGCTTCTGAGGTGAATGGCATTTGCCCTTTTCTTTCCTTCCTTATACTAGACTATTATTGTTATTTATTATCTTTAAAGTCCCCATATAATAATAATACCTGGGAAACAGATTGCTCCCGTCAGAAAACTGATTAGCTGGGATTTTTGAGGTTACTATATTTCGGATGCTCTTCTCCTTTGACAGCCTCTCCCTACAGCCCTCTTTGCAACACTAGCCTGCGCTTATAATTACACCAACATCGCTTTTGATTTAAGGACTGTAATCCTTTGTCCTTGCTATAAACAACCTGCATTAAACACATGAACTGCATGTACCAAGAGAAAAATAAATAGAGCTACAGAAAATTGTGTGAATCAACACCATGAAGCCACAGCACCAGAGCCTACCTATTCAGAGAGGAGCCTTGCCTGATCCTGGGATACACAGCCTCTGCTGGCATGCACTTGGCCTGAGCAGCACGGAGTACACCGGTACTGAGCCGGTCTGCTCTCCCCTGAAGGAGGAGGGCATTGCTCAGGAATTGGGCCATGCAGCTTAAATAGATGAACAGAGCATCCACCGCGCTTTCACAGCAGGGGCTGAAAGTCTGGGGGGTGGCCCTGAGCAGTTCGATTTCTATAGAAGGTCTCACCGCAGAGTACCCTTGAGGTTTTGAATGATACAGGACTTTTATTTAATGTTCAAGACATTCCACCAACAAAACCTTGCTAATTCACACTAATGACTAGGACACCTACTGCAAATTAGTTGCTAATTGGCAAAATTCATTAAATGAACAAACATGATAAGAAATAACTGAAGATATAGCCTCCCCAAACAGACTTGGTTCATTTATTTTTGTGTGCCGTGCAGTTTTCATGATTTATGCTAATACTTTTAAGCACAGTTGTAAATGTATTTGAGTATATTTTGGAGGGGTAATGAAGTCTAAGAAATAGCAGAGCTTGCAACACAGTCCCCTGTTATGTCTTACAGCATCACTACTTGGCAGGTAGAGACTGTCATGGGCATCTGCACTAGGAATGGAAGAGGTCTGCAGGATCTACAGACAGATTCAGCTAGGTCCCACGTGTGATTATATCTGTGTGGTCATCTTAAATGTCCTGCTCTCAATTTATCGCTTTCTCCATAAATGCTCCATTTCTGGTGCTCACAACTTAAAAAAAAAAAAAAATATTCCACTTTCATGCTGAAACCTTTTGTTTGGTCTATCACCAAAATACAAGGTTTTTAAAATTAATCAATGGTTATTTGGATATTTCACATGTACCCTCCCTGATGCTGCACTTCATTTTAATTCAATTTTGAGATAACCTTTTCCTTAAGCTCAACCTTCCCCAACCCTAAACAATATGACTGTCCTAAAACCGTTAATCCTAAAAACTCCACGCATGTGACCTGTGTCTGTACAGCTATAAACTGTGGT